TCGGATTCAAAATGGCTGTCTGGTGGCCATTTTGTTTTAATGAATGGGCTTCTAGATCCATATCTCCGACTTGTTTTGACTGATTATATTCAAATTTTAAATATTTATTATACATCATGTCATAGATATACAGATATATTGGTTTGACGATCCTATTCAAAATGGCCAAATGATGGTCATTTTTGTGCTAAAAAAATCATCAAATATCGAGCATTTCTGGCATTTATGGACGGATTTCGTTCAAATTTGGTACATACATTAGACATTATGGGTTCCTGATGCACGTCATTTTATTTTTCAAATTGGATTCAAAATGGCTGACTGGCGGCCATTTTGTTTTAATGATTGGGCTTCTAGAGCCACATCTCTTAAATGCTTTGACTGATTATATTCAAATTTTATATATTCGTTATACATCATGTTATATATATACATGTATTCAAAATGGTTGATTTTGAATGCTGTTTCAGAGCAATATCATTTTAATGTTGAAAAATCATATTCCTGACATGGTTATATTCCAGCTATATTACTATAAACAAAACTATATATCTTAAATTTGATAACTAACGAGGACTGTGCCATGCATGGCTTGTTTTCATATTAATTACCTGCTCTTATGTTTACCAAAATAAAAACAAGACAAAAACACGTACTACCAATGAATGTTGCAACATTTGATAAATCCATGTGACACCATCATCATGACAAGTCTACTCATTAATTAAATTTTTATTATTAACTCAATGAAAATGAGAGAAAAAATGCATGCACTTGAATTTAAAATGAATAATTACACAAATTATCAAAAATTCTGTTGTAATGTTCATCATTCTTCATAGAGATGAATGGCTTCATTGTCAACAAAAATAAGTCACCTGGCTGAAATGCTGGTTACCCATTGGTGGTGGTAGCAGCAGACGCAGTCCGAAAACAGGGACTTATGGATTGACCTCTGTGTGCATTTTCTGTGGCCAGACCTGTATTTTAGATATGCCTGGACCTATCACATTCAAACTTCTCACATACATCAAATATAATATTATACATATGCACATCAATTTGTTTCCCAATCTGATTCAAGATGGCTGAATGGCAGCCATTTGTGTACTGAAAAATCGTCAAATTTGAGCATTTCTGGTATTCCGGAACCAGATCTCGGCTGTTTATAGATGGATTTTGTTCAAACTTGGTACATGCATTGGACATTATAGAACCTTGATGGGTTTTCCAGATTGGATTTAAATTGATTGACTGGCTAAACTTTATTGGAGAGATGATAAGTTATTTTCCTTCATAAAGAACCATTCTGTGATGTATTTTTCTGTTAACACTATAAACTAAATGAGTCAGTATTTGTGTAAATTAATTATTTATGGGACTGCACTTTGACAATCTTCACACAAAAAAATTGTTTTAACATCTATAAAAAAATACTACAGAAGTAAACAATTTTGATAATTCCTTTAGTGTATGTAGTTCCTGAGGAAATACGAGTTAAAACTTTCTGAGCATGTTACTATAACAACATATATATCATCTCAAAGTTTTTGTCATTTTACTACCTTAATGTGACTAAGCTGTTGACTAGACCTTGGGTGATTTCTAATCTGGCTCTAGTACTTGCTTTTGCTTACATGGTTTTACTTGTTTGTTGTCTAGGTATCCAGGGCCAATAAGATTGATCAGAAGAAGTAAAGATGAAATCATCACTACAGAGTAAGTCTTAATTATATATAATGTAATTTTAGTGTAAATGATTGTACGCTTTGGAGTGGGTTCACTGTTGTGCTAGGATCTTGTTAAACTTCAAATGATGTTCACAAGATTATGCCTTCAATAGTATATAAGATTGAAATATATGCAGTTACTACAATACCAATTTACGATTTCCATATGAATAACTCATAATGTGGGTGGATTTATGGTAATAAACATATGGCATGAGCAGTAGTATAAATGACTACATAGATGTGTTGACTTGAATAAAAGCTTCTTCAGTTTTGGGTAACTTTGTGCAAAAATCAAATCTGAAAGTTACACAAGTTATACTGATCGAAATCTGACATATTGTGCTGTTTATTATGTTAGTTATTATTGTTGTCACTACAATAAATCCTGTCATATTGATTTTGTAATACAGTCCATCTTTGATTATCGAACAGAGAATCCCGCATGCTTTTGGTGTACGACAACCAGGTAGCTCACAACATGGCCTTTTATAAACCATTTTTACAAATCATTTTTTATTTAAAAAATGAAAATTTATTTTAAAAATGAGAACGGATTTTAAAAACAAAAATTGATTTAAATAATTATGTTTTAAAATAAAAACAGATCCCAGAAACGAAATTGGGTTTTAAAAACGGATTTCAGAACTGAAAATGGTTGTTAAAAAAAAGGATTATAAAATGTAAATGAATTGTCAAAATAGTTTTTATAAAAATGCCATGTTGTGAGCCACCTTGGTTGCTGTATTGGTGACATCCTAATATTGTGAAATGTACAAAATGAATTTAAACTATCAGGCCAAAAAAAAGATTTTGCTTCTTGTCTCGTGTAAACATTCTTGTATTTGTTTTCTCTACAGAGAAGGTGTGATAAGTACTAATCGTGGTAACTTTCTATTGATTAAGTTGCTGCAGTGCAGGTTAGTATATATCACTTCCATTTGAATCACTATAATCATCTATTAATCATAATCATTGCTATGTGGCAAGAGGTAACTAAAAAGCACTTTTTTGGCGTTAAATTTATTTTCTGTGATCATACGATGACCAACATTTGTACTAGGATATATTTCAAGTGTAATATAAGCCATAAAATAGTCGGCATTTCACAGGCACTTTAAAGATAGTGTAGTCAGATTTGTGTACAACTTGCCTTGTCAGCTGTGCAGATTATAGACATGAGATTCATGTCTGATCATATCCACCATCACCACATTGATACATTGTTATAATTAATCACTTTGGATGTTTGCCATGTTGTGCTGAGAGTTATTGTTTAGTACAGTAAAACCTGTCAAGACCGACCTACTTTCAGAACCGACCGATTTATGTAGTCCCGAATTTCTACATAGACGTCGATGTGAAATCCGACCACTGTCTACTCTGAACACCGGCCGCATTGATCGGTCCCAAGTCCAATATTCACACTGAATACATCGACCATCGGACCAGTTGCACCACATCCGCTGTCTAGTAATCCAGTCTGACCGACCTAAAAAGTGTGTTGTGTTAAATTTACCATGAACGTCATAGAAACAATATCAAATCTCACACTACAAGTAACGTCCCGTATAAAACAGTAGCAACTGATAAGTTTTTCAAACCACACGCCCTCGCATCGCGTGATGTCTGGACAGTGTAATGACCCCGGATATAAACAAATGATCGGGGTCATCAACTGCGATGAAGCACACTGCATTATCACTTCTTCAACGATCAAGACATTGAGTTTTTAGCTCTGCTGTCGACTTTGTCGAGCGGAGCTTATCATATGAGTGATTGTCCGTCGTCCGTCGTCGTCCGTGTCAATGTTTTACTTTTTCGACTTCTTCTTGAAAACTACAAGCCTAAATGCTTTGATACTTGGTGTATATGTACCTTGGGTAGACCTCTCTTAGGTTTGTTCATATGCTTTGATATTACATATATAGGTACTACATGTGGACCTCTCTCAGATTTGTTCATTTTGTGATGATGTCTTCAATTCTCTAATTTTGGTGAATATTTTTGTCATTTTTGGTAAAAACTGATATTTTCGACTTCTTGTTAAAAACCGCAAGTGCAATTGCTTTGATATTACATATATAGGTACTACATGTGGACCTCTCTCAGATTTGTTCATTTCGTGATGATATCTTCAATTCTCTAATTTTGGTGAATATTTTTGTCATTTTTGATAAAAACTGATATTTTCGACTTCTTGTTGAAAACCGCAAGTGCAATTGCTTTGATATTACATATATAGGTACTACATGTGGACCTCTCTCAGATTTGTTCATTTTGTAATGATATCTTTAATTCTCTAATTTTGGTGAATATTTTTGTCATTTTTGGTAAAAACTGATATTTTCGACTTCTTGTTAAAAACCACAATATATAGGTACTACATGTGGACCTCTCTCAGATTTGTTCATTTTGTAATGATATCTTTAATTCTCTAATTTTGGTGAATATTTTCGACTTCTTGTGAAAAACCGCAAGTGCAAATGCTTTGATATTACATATATAGGTACTACATGTGGACCTCTCTCAGATTTGTTCATTTTGTAATGATATCTTTAATTCTCTATTTTTGGTGAAAAGTGATATTTTCGACTGCTTGTTAAAAACCGCAAGTCCAATTGCTTTGATACTACATATATAGGTACTACATGTGGACCTCTCTCAGATTTGTTTATTTCGTGATGATATCTTCAATTCTCTAATTTTGGTGAATATTTTTGTCATTTTTGGTAAAAAGTGATATTTTTGACTTCTTGTTAAAAACCGCAAGTCCGATTGCTTTGATATTACATATATAGGTACTACATGTGGACCTCTCTCAGATTTGTTCATTTTGTGATGATATTCTCTAATTTTGGTGAATATTTTTGTCATTTTTGGTAAAAAGTGATATTTTCGACTTTTTGTTGAAAACTGTAAGTCCGATTGCTTTGATACTATTCATATTGTTCATTTTCTAATGATGTCTTCAGTTCTTTAATTGAAATGTGCATTGCTAACAGCGGAGCTATCTCAGCCGATAGGCTGCTTGTTTTCTTTCCATAACGATTCTGATCGACAATTTTGTGCTTTCGAATGTTTCTGTAAAGGGGGCTTCAAGATTGAAATTTATGATGACGAAGAAGCAGACGACAACAAAGAATTCGGAAACCTTATTTAGCAAGTTGCAGTGTAGCGTTGATGAGTACCTCCACTTTGATGAACGTATACCAACTGAAGCAATGTATGACGGCGAGTGAGAGCAACAGATTGTTGAGAATTTTATTGCAGACAAATTATTGACCCTCACGATGACAGTAACTTGACGCATGGCGATGTGCTAGACATGTTGACAAGATTACAGAACTTCACAATAAACAAAGACTCCAGTTACTTGACAGATACCCAAAATGTCATAATTCGAACAGAAAACAAAATCGTTGAAAAAAGATGTTCTTTAAAGCAGTCAAAACTTGATGATTTTTTTACATCGTAATTTGATTCATTGACTTAACAGCAAAATTGACTGTCTGCATAAATTATGATAATTACATGTAGCTCATGTGAACTTACATTGTGATGTCATTTAAAATGGTCGCCTTCAGTTACGATACGTGATACTTACTCGGTCTATTCAAACAGTTATTTTAATGTTTATTGATTTCATGTACATACCATAATATTCTTGTCTTGTTTGGTAAATTATTTTATTGAAACAATACAATAAATGTATAATCACCGGAGGCAAACTATGGTGTCTTTCATTTGTCCCGTGTTTTACAGCACATGTAATTGTTGTTTCAATCAAAGTCACGACCACCCTGAATAAACCAACTCCCTCTGAAAACCGACCATAGGTCCCAGTCATGGTTGGTTTTGACAGGTTTTACTGTATATAATTGAATCAAACTGTCTTTTACTGTGTATGTAAATGCTTTCCTAAGTTATGAATAATCAGTATCTGTTGCTGGAATGTTCTGGACCATGGACCACCCCTGAATTGTCATGATGCAAGACTACATGTGTATTTCAAAAAAAAGAATGTGTTATGAAGATTCATCATCTAATATACACTACAATTAATTAATCTGACTTCTTTCTAGGTATCCAAAATTAATGACAGAAGAAAGCATTTCTGTTCTTAATACATGGTTATCAGTCCCAGATACAATAACACAGCGTAAGTTTGTCACTTTCTTACTATGAAAATGAACCAATTGTAATGCCCACAGCTTGCAGCCTTGACTCATACCTGTACTGACACTGACACTGCTAGTAGTACAAACAAACGCTCATCTATTTATTATTAACAAGTTGCCTACCTCTGTATGTATTACAGCAGTGTGACACTTGTATATAACATCATGGAACTTTTGTAATCACTGATTTTTACTTTCAAAATTGATTATTTAAAAAAGTTTTTAAGGTACTTTTAAAAAAATCACCCCCCCCCCCCCTCATATTCAGATTTGTGTTTATATCACCTGTCAGTAAAAGCATAGCTACTAATCACTAGGGGTTAGACACATCCCAAATACAACAAGATCTTCAGTTTAATTGATGTACATTTATCTGTTTATTGCAGTGTCTATTTCAACCTCTTTGGAGCTTGACGAATCTGAGTGTCTTCAGATACTACAAAGCTATGTAGAAGAGAATTCTACCAGTTATCCAATGCTTATAGGTAAAGTATGGAACTACACCTTAACAGAAATCAGTCAGCAAATCATCTTTACAGTATTTCTAAAAGTAGTAATTGTGGACAATTCTTTGAAGATATTGATAGATCAATAGCTGATCATTTTCAGGGAAAGATTGTTATGGGTTATTAATATTTAGATATTGAAAATGAAAAAAAAAACAAGGTCAACAGGCAGTTTCATGAGAAACAGGATTCAAAATGTCATGAAATACGGTAAAAATTGCATTGGTTTCTATGGCAACATTTCTTCATATCTAAAAAATTTGCTCGGCGACTTGAGAAACAAACTTATATTATTGTCATGATTTCTAATATTGTTGAAAGATTTCAAAAAATGACATTTTCTAGTATGGTAATAGTTTTCCATTATATAAAGTAAATGGGAAGTTCTTATTAATATTGCATTACAAGTACGGACAGTAACAAGATAAGTAGTGCCAAATTTGAATTTGACTCAAACTTACCTTTTAGGAGATGATCTCGGTCGAGATATGAAGATGAAACTTGTTCTATTTTTGGTAAGTGATGCTTTTTCTTCAGAGACATGTAGATGTCAATGTTTATCATATGAAAGTGAAATGTATCACCTGTTTTTTTTGAAAGAATACGATAAAAAAAAAAAAAACTTATGTTGCCCTCAAGTTGGAAGAAACAGATCAACCAGAGGTTCTCCACTTATCCGCCTGGGGACCAAACAATGGTCCGTGATAGAGTTGATCTGTACTTGGTACAGATAATTACTTGATAATTGAGGACTATGCACTTGATTATTTTTTGGTAAATATTAAATATATTAATCACCTAATTTGCATAATTAGTTAGGTTTCAGCTTTTCCACTTATATCTCAAGTACTAATCATCCCTTTTAAATGAAATTTGGTACATAGATGCTCGAGGACAATGCACAGACCCTGTGCATATTATTTACCTAGTTTGTATACTTTCAAACTGATATCTCAAGTACTAATTACCCTATTTCAAAGAAACTCTGTACATAATAACACTTAATTGCATGATTTGCATAATTAGTCAGTTTTCAGCTTTTCCATCATTATCTCAAGTACAAGTAATTTAGAATTCATTTTTAATACTCTCAGCACACATGAGTTCTTACTAAGTTTTTTATTCTGTTTGCAGGCAAGCAAGTACCTTGGAGACTTTGATTCTACTCATTGCACGCCTTTACCAGCTAGTATATTTGCTTTGCCTTGGAGTTTGGATGAAGAATTTCTTATATATGATGGGGAAAATTAGGATTTTACCTCTGCAATCTATATATGACTAAATGGGTCCTAATTTGATTATTTTACTGTTCACCTAAGGCACATTGAACTTGGAAACATCCCCTTTCTTGAAAAATAATTATTTAAAAAAAGTTGCATACTAATGTACTGTATTTGCATTATTGTTAATTTTTAGAAAGTAAGTTGCTTTGATTTAATAACATTGTATTGTATTTTTTTCAATCTTTGACTCAACTGGTTTTTATTTATTATTGATTTCAAGGCAGTAGTGTTGAATATGATGCAGAATTTATATATTCCTCCAACTATATGGAGTTAGGTGAGGACTGACTTTCAGTAGAGACGACCAGCAAACAATATTTATATAAACAAATAGCTGTACATGTTTTAATGACTGTCTTTTCCAGATAAAAAATATATCATTACTCTTAATATGCAACATTGATTGGTTTTTTTGTTTTTACCTTGCCTGTACCATCAAAGATGGAAGGGAAAAGTACATTAAGGGAAAAATTTCTGCTCGTTGTTGTGGCCGTTAATAAGTGATATTGTGTGCACAATAACTTTACTAATTTTTTTTCAAACTTGGTCATCTTATTCATCAGTATAAAGTCTTCCCTGAGTATGAACGACAGATGTCCTGTATGAAAATATCATGCAAAAATTGAGAAAATATTTCTACTTGACTGATCACTGGTGATACACATTCAATGGTCACGGATCTCGGTGGAAATATGCATCTTTCAGCATATATATATAAAGGACTGGAATATACGGGGAATGAGGAGCAATAAAACACGTCACGTCAATACATATTTAAATAATTATTATTGAATAAACAAGAATTGAGCTGCACCTAGCAACAACTAATACATGATTAATTACAAACACAATGAAATAATGTACTTTCAATTAAATGGCTTCCAAATTAATGCACACACAGTCCACAATAATATAAATTGTCTCGTAACTCCCCGAGTGCACTCACAGTTCACGACCTTCACAGCGCTGGACCATCTTCTGACTTCTACCCGAAGCACAATGAAGTTGTCCTTTTTGTTGCAGATAACAGCATACAGCGAAGTTCCGACTCAATGTGCGACTTCACAGAACACTGTTTTCTGTTGACTTGACATCTCCCGGTGTAGCACTTAGGTAGAGTCTTAGAATGTTCGTTTCCACAGCACGCAACAGGCTCACTTTACATCTCTGAACAGGAACAGTTTATAAACCAATGTTCAAATAAACTCAGGGGTTGAAACAAAAGCACAGGACCCTGCCTCACTTGTGCAAACCAAAACGAAATGGGGAAAAAAAGAAGCACATGGCTAAGGTGTGACTGCCTTTTATACCCATACCCAGGTGTACATAATCACATAAATTCAGCCAATCATGGTTTGCCACTAGCCACACTTTGGATAATGGCCCACCCTCCTGCACTGTGATAGCACCACCATTGTTATGCAAATATAAATGACTGCACTGTGTACCACTATATAGATATATACAAAAAAGACAACTAAAGATTGACCTCGTGACAAAACTCCCCCCTCAAGACATAGCCTCTTGGGCCTATGTCTTGGAGGATCACAGGTCACTCTTTAGTGACGCTATGGTAACAACTGACTTACATAAATTATAATTGGCAATCACGAACTATCCCTAACCTATCCTACTTAAATAATCTGCACCAATATTTTCACTACCCTTGATTGCTTCAATTCTATACCTGAATGATTGTAGGTACATTGCCCATCTCATAAGACGACCATTTGTTAACTTTGCTTTCTGTAAATATATTAAAAGTTGGTGGTCTGTTTGCAGAACAAATTCTGTAAAATACAGATACTGTTGAAATTTTCTAACTGCCCATATTACAGCTAAACACTCTTTTTCTATCACTGCATACGACTTTTCACGCACTAAAAATTTCCTACTTGCATAAGCTAATGGGAAATAGTACCCATCATATTCTTGTAAAAGAACAGCTCCGATTACCAAATCGGAAGAGTCACTTCGCAGAATAAAAGGTTTACTAAAATCAGGCAGTCTTAAACTGGTTGCTTGCTCAATATACATTTCAATTCAGTGAAAGCTTTTTCTTGTGGATCACGCCATATTACTTGTCTAGGTTGACCTTTCCTTGTCAGGTCAGTCAGGGGTGCAACAATAGTGGCAAAGTTAGGCACATATCTACTATAATAGTTAGCTAATCCCATAAACGATCTAACTTGTTTGACTGTACATGGTTGCTTAGCCTAGTAGAGCTTGTACTTTCTCTTGGGTCATTTGTAACAACCCAGCCCCAATTTGGTGTCCCAGAAATTCCAATGTATGGTATCCAATAAAACATTTACTGGGCTTTGCTGTAAGCCCAGCCATATTCAAACGCATAAATAC